GCAGCAATATTAAAAAAATTTCTCTGAGTTCGTAAAATGTCTTCTTGTGTTTGTGGTAATTTTATGTAAATTTGCCAATGAAGCTATAGCCTCAGACACTCACCATTATTCTTGAAACTGTAAATTTATCCATTCCACTATAATCACCCATTGTTATCAAAAATCCATTAGTCGAATATAAACGTAAAGCAATGAGCAATTGTTGCATTGGTGTAACTGGATTATTTCTAGAAAAGAGCAAAATTATTTCTTCTTTTATAGTAATAATTTTAAAGAAATTTGTTTATAAATAATTATAATATATTGTAACATTTGTAATTAACATATATTATATAATAGTAGCATATTGTAACCTTATGTTAAAAATATTTTGTAAGTAATGTCAAAAACGGTTAAAAAATTTTGAATTAAATTAGGAAATTTTACCTGTAATGTGTATACTCCAGGCGATCTTGAATTTGTTCTAATATATTAATAACAGACTGTTTTCGTAACCTAAATCTTCTAAAAAAATTTAAGTCGTCATATTTTTCAAAATAATTAGCACGTATATGTATGTTTGGCGGTATTCCATATACAACTAGATCAAATGCATCTAATTCATCATCTTTTAGTACATCGAAATCTAAATCCATTTTTTAATAACTTCAAATAATTCGTACGCGAACAGTAATAATACGACCAATATGACTTGTAGCAGTAATATCTGTCTCTTAAATTCTCTTAAGCGGTACTGAAATCACCGCTTAAGATAAGTGAAATTCAAAGCAATTTAAGTGTCACTTATATCTTGGTGCAACAAACTTAAAGTTTTAAACTTTGCTTTAAGCAAAATTAACGTTGGTGCAATCGGGCCTAAGAGAAAGTAATTCTATATTAGGTGTTAAACTTAATTCCTACCATTTTTTGTCTCCAAAATTGATTTGTTTCGAAGGGAAGATGAATGAATACTTTAATCAAAGTAATTTCCTCCATTTTCTACTTTATTACTAATTAATAATACTTTGATTAAGGTATTTCCCTTCGAAACAAATCAATTTTGGAGACGAAAAACGGCAGGAATTAAGTTTAACACCTAATATATTGCTAGTACGTTACATCTGTGTTATATTATAAATAGGGTTATTAATCGATTTTATTACGTTGCTAAATACTTTAATGGAAAATCACGAATATTTTAAAGTTACGAGAGGTTTGTCAAAATAAAGTATGAACTGTTTACTATTGGGAAAACATGGAATTTTCATGATTTTCATGGAATTTTATCGGAAAATTTTTGAAATTTTATTTTTAAATTTAAACTATCTGTTTCTGAAAACTTCTTCTTTTATCATTTTTCTTGATATCGCAAAATGTTGACAATCGGCAATAAACATTAATACACATCTTTAGGTCATTCGCGTCCTGCGCATTTCTTTTTTTTGAAGTACTAAGAGTACCTGGTCAAATATCGGTCTCTTTTCAATTCCTACAAAAAGTTTGACATCTAGAGAACAAGTTTTGTTCGTTGCCGGCCTTAATTCGTGCGTTAATTGGCATAATTCCGAAGTTCACCTCTGAGTCACAAATGACCCAACGTGTGTACAGAGTGTACATTTTTTGTAACTAAAAATTTTTTATTTTTTATAAAAATTATTTAGAATTTGGCAATTACGTTGTTCTCATGGTTTCTCAAAAAGCTTAATTTTTCAAAAATAAAAGGATCACATTTTAAAAGAATAAAAATATAAAACTGACGACTGTAATTTTGGCAATTCTATTGACTTATTTTTTCAAGTATGAAGGAATAAACATCAGGTGAATTGAACAATTGTAAATTAATCAAGATATAATTTTAATTGACGACTGTTTTAATGCGACTTTTTCAAAATATTTATCCGATTGTTGAACATTGTAACCTCATCAAGTGTTTTATATGACGACTTTAATTGCGGATATTTTAATATTTATTGGTTGTCTGGTGTTTAATTGATTGTATTTATGTTATATTAATTTAATCATGCGAATATCATAATTTATTGTACTGAAGATGGTCAAATTTTGACCGAAACGTCTATGAAAACTTTTATTATTGTTATGATATTTTTAAATATATGACTTCACAATAACGTCTTGTGGCTATTACACATTTTGATTGTTTTGATATTGTTTTATTTAAGCCACCTCTAAAATTTAACTTATTTTTTTTTATTTTCAACTAATTCTCGGTTGTATTACGAGAATATTTCGCAAATTATTAAAAAAAAGAATTTAACCTTAAAACAATATATTAATCCTTAAGGCTCCTGAGCAGTCGCAGCGGCCATGTTGGAATCGTGACGTCAGAAGCGAGGAATGACACGTAAATTTATGTTGCAAATCATTTGTAAATAAAGACAATTTGAATAAATCTAAATGACGAGATTACTTTAAAATATCTGTAAAAATGGACAGAAACTGTCCTTTTCTCCCTTAATAGTCAGTAAATGGTCGTAAAAGGCAGGTAAAATGAGCCTAATATCGAATGAAAATACATGGTTTGAACGGGTATGTGAAGTTAGCACCCCAACTATAGTACTCAGGAGTTCTGAATAGAGTTCCCGTTTCTTTTTGATGAGACAAAGAGTTCTATATAATTTATAACAAGAGTTCCGCTTAATAAGTATTTTTAAACAATTTTTAAAAAATGGGGTGCTAACTTCTCATCGAAAAT